GATACTCACAATTACATCCAAATTAATACGTAAGCAATGCGATTCAGGAGACAATAATTAGGAATTGTTTGCATTGAAGCAATGAAATATTGATTAGTATAAATTAATTTTTGTAATTGATTTTGGAAGAAGCTGTGTCAACTTGCCAAATTACTAAATATATGTCTTTTGTTTAGTTTTTATGATGTGTTTTTTTTTAGTTTGTATTTGTGTGTTATTTTTCATTGTTTATGATGTATTTTTATTTTTCGTAGTTTTATGTTATTTTTCAATTTTATCATTTTATAACATTAATGTCTTTTTTTATCTGTTAAATTTATAGTCTTTTTAATATTAATATGGTTTATATTAATAATGTATTTTAATTAAAAATGTTATATTTTTAAAAATAGCAATATTTGATGGTTTTGAAAAAATAATTTTGCATAACATGATTGTTGAGGATGAACGTGACCTATGTGCACCAATCGAAACTGAGATGGAAATGCCGTATCTCGCAAAAAAATAAAAAAATAAAAAAATACGACCACATTGCACTTCAAAATGCACTAATTGATCATTTATGGGAGGAATCACCAATTATGAGACTTGAAAGACTATATATTTTTACTTGTATGTTATAATTTTTAATATTTCATCATGTGAGTTGTAATTTTTAATGTTATCTTGTACATTGTAATTTTTAATTTATCTTGTACGTTGTAATTGTTAATAAATATATATTTCTCTGATTTCATTATGTATTTGATTTTAGCTTTTTATTTAATTTTATTACATAAAGTCTAAATCGAATTCAAAATAATAGTGTGGTTGAATTTGTAAAGTTGTAAAATATGTGGGTAACATTGAAGTAAAAAAGAATATTCCGAGAATATTAATTTGAGTTTTAAAATGAGTTTTTCACTTTTTCTGTTAGAGATGAATTACCATTTGGTGTGACAGTTACTGCAAAATGAGTTTGAGAATGAATTTTTCCGATGTCGTGGAAAATGAGTTTGAGAATGAATTCTTCACACCAAATTGTTTCATCGAATTGATTCTCAATTCACAGACCTTTTTCAGAATTTGAGCCGAGAGTTCAGTTCGTCAGTCATGGAGTCCACCGCAGAGAACCTATCGCCGTTTGATTTGATGTCCGCGATTCTGAAAGGGGTGAAGCTCGAGAATTCCAACGGGTCCGCGGAGGCGGCGGTGGTACCGATGATTGTGGAGAACAGGGACCTGATGATGATGGTGGCGACATCCTTCGCCGTGGTCGTGGCGTACTTCCTGCTCGTGTCGTGGCGGCCAAATTGGCGAAGAAGAAGAAGAAGAAGGCGGAGCTGGTGAAGCTGGTGGTTCCAAAGGCGGCGGCGGAGCCGGAAGAGGTGGATGACGGGAAGAAGAAAGTTACTATATTCTTCGGGACTCAGACTGGCACTGCTGAAAAAAATTGTGCATTTGTGGTGCAGGGGAAAGAGAAAGGAGATTGGCTTAAGAATCTCCAATATGGTGTGTTTGGTCTTTGGAACAGACAATATGAGCATTTCAACAAGGTCTGTACCGTTTTTAAAAATTTTACGTGCATTTTCCGGCTGGCGGATTATGATTTATGCTGTACTTAAAGCGTTCCAAATTCCAATTTTGTTGTATGGATTACAGATTGCAATTGACGTGGGCAAAATTGTTTCGGAGCTAGGTATGCTTGAGTTTCCCCATTTTTTTTTTAACATTCGGATTGTTGTTATGAAATATTATACATGAAAAACATCAGCAATGCTCGGTTAATTAAGTTGATTTTGTGTGAAGAAATCTGAACTTAAGATCTTAATGCTTTGGCTGCTGTTATTTATTTTTTTTTTTTTGGTATAGGGACCTTCCAGTTTCTGGATCCACAGGGAACCGACTAATCCGGAATCGAGCCGGGTAGGACCACAAGGGCGGCAAAGCTCTCGAGGTTTAACACTGTTGCATTCCCAGGGCTCGAACACGAGACCACTAGTTAAGCTGGAAGAGACCCAAGCCATCTCATCCACTGACTGTTGTTATTTTTAATACTTGCTATTTTCTTAGAAAACCTTGGAGGAGTAGTTTGGTAGAATGTATTTTCTTGTGCATAATCAGATACCGATATGAGTAAAAATGTGCTTCATATCCATCGGGTTTAGGCTTTTCTTTTCTACATATATAATTTCCAATATCATGTGAAAAAAAGGATGCAATATCAATTACAATGGAGTTGATAATATTTTTATGAAACTCTAAATTCGTTCATTTGTTTTCGAAATTCAGGTGGACAACAGCTCGTCCCAGTGGGTCTTGGAGATGATGACCAAAGCATTGAAGATGACTTTTCTGCATGGTAATAATAAAATCACCTATCATAATTACCAGAAAATGACCATTTATTTTTCTTTCTAAATATATCTAGTGATTGTTCTATCGGTTAATAAAGGCGCGAATTGGTGTGGCCCGAGCTGGATAAACTATTACGCAGCGAGGATGACACGACTGAATCTACTACATACACTGCAGCCGTTTTGGAATATCGTGTTGTTTTCCATGATGACCAATTGGATGATTCTATCTCGGGAAAAAGCTTGCCCAACGGCTATGCCAATGCCAATTCTGTTTATGATGCTCAACATCCATGCAGGTATATATATATTCATTCGTGTTGGGTTATTTGAAAATTTGCTGATTTTTTTCCTCTTACCGAACAATTTTCTTTTTTTTTTTTACTTTTTTTTTTCGTGAAGAGTGAATGTTGCTGTGAAGAGAGAGCTTCACACTCCCGCATCTGATCGTTCTTGCACTCACTTGGAATTTGACTTAGCTGGAACTGGATTAGCGTTAGTGTACTTCAGTTTTTAAAAGATTCTGAGATAATTTTTGAAGACTCACCCATCTTCCGAATTTGATTAGTTACATATATTATCCCCTTTTAGTTTTTATTTTGTAAATAAAGTACCTCAAGGTCACAAATGTACTCCTATTTCCTCAGGTACGAAACGGGAGACCATGTTGGTGTCTACTGTGAGAACTTGATCGAGACTGTAGAGGAAGCAGAGAGGCTTCTTAACTTACCCCCACAGACATTTTTCTCAATTCATGCTGACAAAGAAGATGGGACGCCACTCGGCGGAAGCTCGTTGCCACAGCCTTTCCCTCCTTGCACTCTAAGGACAGCTTTAGCTGGATATGCCCATCTTTTGGGTGCTCCCAAGAAGGTGCATTTATGTTCCACGTCACATTTTTTTTTTTCCTTAATAAATGGTTGGAAAATTTACTTGAATATTACAAAACTTTGAGGATTGCATCTTTTTTTTTTTTGTTTTTTCAGTCTGATTTGATTGCTTTGGCGGCCTATGCTTCGGACCCGAGCGAAGCTGATCGGCTCAAATTCCTTGCTTCTCCTGCTGGAAAGGTTTGACTTTTGACGCCTTTAATTGGTATTCCTCAATATTCTTTTAATCTTTTGACTTAGGCCTCTTGGAAATTTTTCTTATGGGTTCTTTTACAATTTTCTTTATTTTTTTCAGGAAGAATATGCTCAGTACATAGTTGCAAGCCAAAGAAGCTTACTGGAGGTCATGGCTGATTTCCCTTCGGCAAAGCCTCCGCTTGGTGTTTTCTTTGCAGCGGTTGCTCCTCGTCTGCAACCCCGATTTTATTCTATTTCATCCTCCCCAAAGTGAGTACATACATTGCTATATTTTTCAAAAGATACCTGAAATAAAATGTGTTTCTCTTACCTTTTGCTTTTTAAGTCCTTGTTATTTATGATTTTTTCGTTTTTTTTCCAGAATTGCACCGTCAAGAATCCACGTGACTTGTGCACTGGTGAATGAGAAAACACCGACAGGACGAATTCACAAAGGTGTCTGCTCGACATGGATGAAGGTGCTACTTTTAAATTTCAAATCGAAGTAATGGTTATAGTTTGTTGAATAAATTTAGGGAGTAATATTCATTTTTAATACTTTGAACCTACCATACAACATTTTTTCATATTTCTTATCAGAATGCGGTGCCTAGTGAGGAAAGCCTCGATTGCTCGTCTGCACCAGTTTTTGTTAGGACCTCTAATTTCAAGCTCCCTTCTGATACTAAAGTACCGATAATAATGATCGGCCCTGGAACTGGCTTGGCTCCATATAGGGGTTTTCTTCAGGTGACCCTTATTGTTATATCAATTTTCAAGAATGAAAGAAAAAAAGAAAGAAAAAATAGACTTGTGGCGGGATAAGTTAGATTTTTTTTTTAGATTTGTCTAAAAATAGACTTGTGGTGGGATAATAACAGGCTTCGAATGTGTGGAGCATGATCTCTCGAGGAGGGTATGTGTATGTGTGTGGTGATGCTAAGGGAATGGCACGTGACGTTCACCGGACTCTACACAACATCGTACAAGAGCAGGTTTGTGTATATAATATATGATATCTCTAGAAAATAAAAAATAAATGACTTACTCGAGCCTGAACTAATAAATCGTCAATGCCAATGAAGGGATCTTTGGACAACTCGAAAACCGAAAGCTTTGTGAAAAATCTGCAGATGACCGGAAGGTACTTGCGTGACGTATGGTGATCGTTTTTCAAGAAAACATAAAAAGTAAAAGGGCTGCGATTTATAATAAGATCACAAATCCTACGCAATGCACGAAAATGTCGAAGGTGAGGTTAGTTAATGTGCAGACCACACTTTGCTCAATATTACCACTCCATAAGCAAAAAGGGAATATCCAAGACAGTATTGTGATGTTAGTTCTTTGCTATGCTTTAGGTAATTAGTTTGTTAAGTTAAAAGGGATTAATTGGGTTCTTGGAGTTTGAGTATACACAATATATAATATGTATTGTAAGATATATAGAAAATAATTATCATGAGGTGATCCGGTTATAGTTACAGACTTACAGTATGTTGTATCGTCCTAATGAGCCGGAAAAAAAAAGGTTCTCACAAATTCGCGTGTATTGGCTTTTTTTTTTTT